AGCCCTTCTTGAGTGAAAGACAGAGTAGCTCACAACATAGATGACTCCAGACCTCCAGACAGGTCTGTTGATTCCTCTAGCACAATACCACTCAGGATAAAAGTAAATAAAAAATGGAGAGCATTCCACACTGTATGAAAATGGGTAACTGTGTATTAGGAAAATGGATAGTGGTGATATGAAATTAATATGCTGAGAAACTTAACCATCCCCCAAATTAGAGGGGGTGGGTAGAATTATAACCTATTGGACTTAGATTGTTGATTTTTTTTGAATTCATAATTTTGTGTAATTTTGATTAGAAATTTGCAAAAGGCAAATAAAAAATTTTGACTCGTTTGCAAAATCAATCGAAGAAAGTATTTTCTCAGTATGTCTTGCTAATAAAGCATCCTATTTGAAGTCTAAAGTAACCAGGATTAAGCTGGTTTTCTACTCTTGAAACATTATACACTATGCATGAGATTATGTAAAGAATGTTTGTGTTCATATACACACACATGTACATTTCCTTTTCATACTTATGAGAACCATATTTTTTTCTGTCATTAACTTTTAAATATTTACTTTTCAGTTTTATGTGGACACACAATATCTTTATTTTTAATTTTAATTTGTTATATATATAAACAGAATGCATTACAATTCATAATACACATACAGAGCACAATTTTTCATCTCTGGTTGTACACAAAGTAAAGTCACATCCTTCGTGTCTTCATACATGTCTTCATACATGTCTTCATTCATAGGGTAATGATGACCATCACATTCCACTGTCTTTTCTACGCCTATGCTTCCTCCTTTCCCCTCCCTCCCCTTTTCCCCTTTGCCCAATCTAAAGTTCATTTAATCCTCCCATTCCCCCACCCCCACAGCATATTATGAATAAGCATCCTTAAATCAGAGAAAGCATTTGACATTTGTTTTGGGGGGATTGGCTTACTTCACTTATCATTATCTTCTCCAATTCCATTCATTACCTGCAAATGCCATGATTTTATTCTCTTTTAATACTGAGTAATATTTCATTGTGTATATATACAACATTTGCTTTATCTGTTTATCTACTGAAGGGCATCTAGGTTGGTTCCATAGTTTAGCTATTGTGAATTATGCTGCTATAAACGTCGAAGTGGCTGTGTCCCTTGTAGTATGCTGTTTTTAAGTCTTTTGGGTATAGACCAAAGAGTGGGTCAAATTGTGGTTCTATTCCCAGTTTTCCAAGGATTTTCCATACAGCTTTCCATATTTGCAGTCCCACCAGCAATGTATGAGTGTGCCTTTTCCCCCACATCCTCACCAACACTTACTGTTGTTTGTATTCATAATAGCTGCCATTCTGACTGGAGTGAGATGAAATCTTAGAGCAGTTTGATTTCAACCCCTATCTCTCACCATGCACAAAACTCAACTCAAAGTGGATCAAGGACCTAGGAATTAAACCAGATACCAAATTTATTAGAAGAAAATGTAGGCCTAAATCTCCATCATGTCAGATTAGGCCCCAACTTCCTTAACAAGATTCCTTATAGCATAAGATTTAATATGAAGAATCAATAAATGGGATGGATTCAAACTAAAAAGCTTCTTCTCAGCAAAACAAACAATCAATGAGGTGAATAGAGAGTTTACTAATTGTAAACAAATTCTTATCACACACACGTCAGATATAGCACTAATCGATAGAATATATAAAGAACTCAAAAATCTTACCGCCATTAAAACAAATAACCCAATCAATAAATGGGTCAAGAAAGTGAATAGACACTTCTCAGAAGAAGATATACAATCAATCAACAAAT